CGAAGCGAGGCGAAGCGAGGCGAAGCGAGGCGAAGCGAGGCGAAGCGCTGTTTTAGCAAGGACACGCAGAATGACAGGAAACGCTGGACTGCACACCTGGACTGAGAGCGTTTGTAGATGTTTATAGGACTTCACAAGAGGATGGCCTTGACTTGTTAATCCCTATATCAAACAGGTTCGTTAGACCCAAGCACACCATGCCACCTCATCGCGCAGCACGGCATTGCTTTCCTGGGCCTTTCCAAGGGAAGTAGCAAGAAATCTGTCATTGCTGTCAAGGGAATCCAAGAATCAAGACTTAGGTCGCTTAGGTTGTGTTCAGCTTGGTGTCCAGCTTGGTGTTGTCCTTTCGTGTGCTCCAAGTCCTCTAAGTCCGCAGGATGACGTCCAGCCTCTTCGAGCTCTCCCCTCAAAGCCTGACATGTGCGGTTGTGGTGTACACTCCAACTCACTAACATGGAAGCCCTAGAAGTCGAACCACCATTGTTTTAACAGCCTGAATCCCGAACAACCATTGTTTCACTAAGGGTTTTACACTACAAGTCACCAGATCGTTCCCATTTAAAAAATGGTCGGCTGGACTTCCAGGGGAAGTGGCACATCCCATTTTTGGAAGTCTTCCTCCAAGGAACGTATTTTTTCCACTTCCATGTTACCCTACACCTACAAGTACCTCCTGAGAAGGTATTTGGACCCTCCAAACCCACCCCAGTCCCACCTTCTCAGAAGGTACTTGGAGGCCTAGGGTTAGTGAGTCAGAGTGTATATAATTGTTCTGATTAGCATTTGGAAGTCGGAGTTCCATTCAAAACTGTGGACCCAAAGACAGCTGACACAAAAGTTTCCCGGCTGGTGGACGTGTGCCAAACCGATCACCCGTCATCTGCTAGAACTCCACAGCTCAAGTCGACATTGAACTTTCAAGGCATACTGTCCCCGCCCCCTGGCTTTGTGGCTCATTGACTCATTCATCTGCTTTTGTGGCCCAAAAGAGTGTGTCTTCTTTTGGACCTCCAGGTTCGGGTTCCCAAAAGCTTCCCCTCAAAAGGCGACGGAAGAGACGGACGAAGCAGTGGTCCATCAGGCCAAGAGGCCTTTCAAAACAAAGAACACATAAGAACACCGATCCATCCCGATTCGGGACATCCGAGATGCGACCGCCAAGCCCGATGCGGCGGGTAGATGAGTGCTTTGTTTAGGCCCGATAAGCACGCCACTCGCCGCGACATGATGGGGTGTCATCATTGAAAAATCCCAGAAACATCTTCCCAGTCCCAGCGAGACCTCTTGGAAAATCCACTGGGACTCGGCTTTCGCCATCTTTCACCTCGTGGAAAAACACATTATACCTTCGAATTTCGCCGTACCTGGCTTCAGCCCTGGCAGAGTCTCGGCCGCGTACATCGTTGGCTTTGGCCGTCGCTGGACGCGCCTCGTGACCTTTGGCACAGCGGCTCTCCTCTTGCTGCACTCGTCGCACCTGAAGAGCCCGGAGCTCATTGGATGGTCTGGTGCCAACGTTTGGATCACTTTGCCCGGGAGTGTTTTCGGCAGCTTTGGGAGTAAGCAAACACGAAGCAACAATACAACCAAGAAAACCATCCTCGACCTGACCTTGGTGGACTTGGATGGTTTAGGATGCTTTGTGCATCTTTGTACACCAGTCTACCGGGAGACTGGTAACTCTGCTGAAGGGTACGTCGAATGGGTCCCTCCGGCTTTCTCCAAACAAACGCCGGTCTCATCAGGTCTTAAGTACCACTTTGTACACTTTATACCCAAACCCGGTGGTACTGAAACCATCCGGCTCTGTGGATTCTTTTTGGGGGATCAATGGAAACCAACCGGTGCTGAAACCACCCGAATCACTGACCCCTTTCTCAGCGCAGATCATGGTGGATCTGGCGCCCATCGGCCCATCGGCCCATCGAACCATCTCCTCTCGGTGCTCCGGCTTCTCGGCCCAGTCGCTCAGCCTGCGAGTTGGCCGAGTCGCGGGGGGAATTCGGTTCGATGCCAGTCGGGCTGTGTCAAGACCTGTCCAACTGGCATGCCATGGGAAGCTGCCTCCCCAACTGCACACACTTTGTAGCCCCTTGTTTGGTTAAATTGTCGAACTACTAAATGATACAGTATGCATGAACAATCAGTTTAGAAACGCAGTGTGGAAGTACCAAGAAGAAGCCGTTCTGGTCAAATCGTGTACAATGATCACAACTTCAAGACGGTCTTCGCCTTTTCTTTGGCCGCAGTGACATCAGCAGATCGACTTTGAAGCTCAGCCTGGCGTGAGGTCAGCGTGGGCGAGGCCAAGTACTTACTCGGCTGCTCCCAAGGACAACTGATCTGAAGGACGCGTGGCAATTGGGGCCAGCGAGCGCAGACGAAGGGCCTTTAGGCAGCCTAGCTTCTCAAGCTGATGTGACTGATGTGACAAACACAAAAGGAATTCGCCGCCGATCAGTTGCGTTGACTGAAGCAGTCTACGCTGGTGAGGCAGTGCTGAGGCAAAGCAAAACGATGCCCCTCACCTTCCTAAAACCCTAACCCCTTTGGCAATTTGAAGAACAAAGCAATCCTGCATGCCACCTCTCAGAAAAGGGGCCCTTCTTATCTCAAAGACCAGATGTCCAGGTGGTCGGACCGCGCTGGGAATTGTTCAAAAACACCTGGAACCTCCGCCCCAGTACCAACCGGTGCAACCTCCCAACCAACCAGCCCCACACACCGGCCCCGCCCCGAACTGACGCGGTCGGGCCGAATAGCGCTGAAGCCGACCGAAGCGCCACCAATACTCGCGGACCGAACTCGAGGCGCGGGTCACGTCCGATGCCCTGATGCAGGAAAGAACTGGCGGTAATTGATGGGTCAATGAATGTAGCAAGATCGGGTTTGGAGAGACACCCACATGGAATCACATGGAACCTGAAAGCCACATATATGGTTTAGATACAAGGTTTATTGTGGAGGAAGCAAGCTCGTCTTCCAGTCTGGTCCATTGCCAGGTTCCATGTGGGTCTGGTCCACCGCGGACCGAACCTCGGGCACGTTCCGGCTCCCGGAACTCGCGCCACGTCCTTCCTCGCGCCGCCTGAAGTCGGTCCACGTCCTTCCTCCAATCGTCGGCAACGGCCGCCTGGCTCACTTCAACATCTCATCGTTGACTGCCGATTCATCCTATTTATTCAATGTGGAGACGTAAAACCATTCTAGGATCGTTTTTTTCTTGAATTTAACAGATAGACTTAGTCTAGAGGAAAGCCGTTCGACGCCTAACACCACACTCGGGGAGAGTTGAAACGGCGTTTTCCTTCGACTTGGGGGGTCAGACCATGAAGAATCTGTCCCTGACACGTAAGACTTAGACTTCATGGGCAAACGTCCATTCTCTCTTCAGATTCCATTCTCTCTACCAGCTGGTACAAGTAGAAACCATTTACACTGGACTGGACGTGAAAAAAGATCCGCAGGTCCAAACCCTTGGTAGGCAGATCACACATGATCACACAACCTTTAGAGAGTAACAACTGCCACAGCTATCTTGAGCATGTTGGCAGGATTTGTGGTGATTCTCACCGCCCGACTCTGGCTTTCAGCCCGACTCAAAATGTTGGCGGGTCCGTCCCAGTCCCAAGGCCCTCGCTTTCCTGCCAAGTCCTTCGACTTCCCCCTTCACTTCGGGGATCTAAGCCACGCCAACATACGCCTGCCCCATCTTCCTTCACGCCTGTCGACCCGTCCGATGCGCGCGGTTTTACCCGTCCACACCTTTGCAGCTTCAATGTTGGAGATCTCTCGAGCACTTGCGCGAGCCTCCCATCTTTCAACCATCGGTCCATTCGTACAGAAAGATGGTGATTTCTGAGCACAAACACTTTTCATTCAACCCAAGGAACGGAAATCCTTCTGTAAGGTTCACAATATATGGAAACTTGACCATGCAAAGCACCCCCTCCGAACCATCTTTGCCATTTCGTTCAAAGGCTTCACCGGTTTCGAGGCTCCTTTCGGCTCCTGCGGCATGGATATGTTGCATGCTGCTCAGCTTGGGGCTAGAAGAAAGAAGGGCTCTACCAGGACCTTCCAAGAGGTGTCTATAAATAGCCTCTTAGGGGTTGAGGGGTGTCCAGAAACCACCTGTTGGAAGGTTCTGGTAAGAACATGTTCCATCTAAAACGCCATAAACCCGACCCCCCCACGACCACCTGTCCTTTCCCGGACGGTACTAGTACCATCTCGTCCGAGACCGACCGGCCTCTGCATGACGAGCCTCAGCGCGAACCCGTTCCAGCTCACTCCGGCAGGCCCTCACCTGTTCGGGAGACACCCGCGCTTGCGCGGCGCCGGGAGACACCCGCAAGCCGGCCTGCGGCCCGGTGTCGGCCGGCGACGCCCCGACGACCCCGATGGAGTCGGCCCGAGCCGAGACACGGTGTCTTTGGTTTTGTGTCGTCGGCGTTTTGTATCTTTTTTGTGCGGGAGACCATAATGGGTTGCGGTACGTCTGGCGGTACGTCAAACATCGTTGCGGTTTGTGGCGCCTCCGAGTGAAGTTGCTCCACTTCAGAAGCTTTGGCGCGCAACTGGGCCTGGCATGCAGTTTGACGAGGTGGCCATGGTGATCCACATCTGGCCAAGGGATCAGAGGGGATCAGGACGCTACTATAGTAGCTCCTGGCATTACTACTAGGAACAAGAAGGTAATAGTAAAAAGGGCATTTCTACTAGTAGCAAGGACGCTAATGGAAGGGGATCAGTTTCTGGTAGACTCACCCAGTGGAGTACCTTGGACGACCAGTTCGACCCGCAAAAATGGTGCCGGCCACTATAGATGCCCACCATCCACCGCATGGGCCGGACGGTCCCCAAATAAATGACACGAGATGCTTTCTAAGATATCATAATATGTAAAATGTATCACAGGTTGCAACATTTTTTCACATGTAATGAGTAGGTTGAGTAGAGCCTTCACATCACAAGTAGGTTGAGTAATGGTCAAATTCTTTCATTCACATGGCCCAGTTCATGGTCAGAATCTACGGAGCCGCGTTCGCGTTCGCCACATCGTGTGGGACCATTGGGACAGAGAAGACGCTGGGATGGCCCCCAACTGTGCAAGCAATTCTGCCCGGCATCCATACAAAAGAGAGAGGAAAGGCAAACACACATATGCATAGATTTACCTAGTATCTTCCAGGTACATTGACCAATAAAGCCCGGATGATCCAGATGATCGTAAGATAGAGTACGCAAATTAATATGCCAGTCCCATGGATCTTAGATGGGCTTTCTTCGAGGCGACCATCACGTTCCCCCGGCAAACAACGCCTTGAGATCCCCCGAGATGGAGCTGTTCTCATCTGCCTTCCGTTGCCTTCGGAGAAACAAGGCCTGGTGACACCTGCCTGGTGTGGCTTAAAAGGACTCTGAAACACAGACAAAACACATCAGAAATTAACTTGAGAGGAGGGAGACACGAAAGGTAGGACAGCAGGAAGAGAAGAGAACGCGAGAGGCAGGAACAAAAATGCAATGTTCGACATGGTGATTTATCCCCTCGGAGGCGACCTTTCGTAAATATATGTTCATATGCACTTTAAATGTTCAAACATGTGCTCTCGAAATGT